CTACCCCTAAAAACTAGCAACTCTCCGCTAGACCTCAACGCATATTCAATAGATATACTGTTATGTATGCATGCTTACAGATTTTTCTCATTACACATTTTATTTATTATTAAATCAAAAAACTAAATAGCACTTATTAACCAATTTGATTCAGCATCATTACCCGAAGAATCAGTTTCAGCTCTAGAATTTGATCATGATAAACCAATTTTCGATTTGAAAAAGAAGAAGAATGAAACCAAAAATAATGGTGGTTACCAACTCGCTAAAAAACGATCTGCCTCTACAGGTAAATCTCGTGAAATGGCAAGAAATTCAAGTTCGAGTCAGAAAGAATCTTATTTAACACCATCAGAATCTTATGTCATGTTACCACGCTCACATTTACCCGATAAGGATACTAATGATGATAGACAACGAGCTAGCATCAGTTGTCATTTAAAAATTACTAATCGACTTTTTGACCTGATGAATTCAAGATCTGAGCCGTCACATCCAATTTGTCAGGAGTGTGTTGACATTTTGTTGGGTAACTTGAATAGACAATTAACTGATGCTTCGAAAGAACGAGATTTTTATAAAAGTTTTCTAGAAAAAGCGAACAAAAGCATTATTGGTGACGTTGATGCAGAAAAAATCCAAAAAGAAATCCAAAAGGTAAGCTATTGATGGCAATTTACAAATATTACACATATTTTTCATAATATTCTTCTTCCATATATATATATATATATATTGTTATTAAAGTAATTATTATTTTATGTTGCATAGATTAAAGATAATGAATTGACAGCAATTAACACATTAAAAGATATTGAAAAAGAGGGAGAAATATTGAAAAAAGAAATTGGAAAGTTGAAAACTGAAATAAGTAAACTTGATAAACTTGAAGAGAGGTATACATACATATATCTATGGATGTTTATTATTTATTATTATATTATCATCATCATCATCATCATCATCATCATTTTAATTATTTTTAATTTTTAATAGTTATTGGAATGAATTTAATAATTTTCATATTCAAATTCAAACCTTTCAAAATGAAAGGGATAGTATAAATTTAAAATATGATCATGATACTAAATTATTAGAAAAATTACATAAAACTAATGTTTATAATGATACCTTTTGTATTGGGCATGATGGAAACTTTGGGACAATAAATGGATTTAGACTTGGTCGTTTACCTAATATCACGGTAATTTAATTAATTAATTTTCTTTTTAGAATATTTGGAATTTTGGAATTTTGGAATATTAAGTTTTTCATATTCTATTTATTGTTGTTTTTTTAATGAGAGATTGATTAATTTATATTATTTACAAGACTGCTTATATTTATATATAAATATAAATAGAATTAACAAAGATAAGATTAATGATGCTTCTATAAGATTACAATTCAATCCAGAGGAATGGACTAGAGCACTCAAGTATACTTTGGCTAATATTAAATGGATTTTAGCGTACGCTTCATCATTAACAAACAACGGATCAGACTAACACTAACACTAATACTAACAATAAATAAATCGTGTTATGAATCAATAATTATATATTGTATATTATTTTGTTCAATTGAAATTTCATTTAAAATTAAATGTTTTTTCCACGTAAAAACTATATTATTATGTTAGCTTAGTTTGCATATAAAGCGAAACTTCTAGAAATATTTCAACAAAATTCGGCGAAGTTTAAAAAATAAATCGAGTTGACCGACCCATTTGCTAGAAATGCATGCCTTGACCTTTCCTTCACAAATTCATTTCTTTGCCATTTTCGTCAACAAAAACGCGAGAAACATATCTATGACGACGAAATAGCAAACTTCCAACTTGTTGGGATTTTTTGAATACAATGTACGTTTATTTAACCGCCTTTCATCTGGAGATTGTAAAAAACGTCACCAATTCGTTTGTTTTTCAGGTAAAAAGATTCTTACTTTCAATAGTGAACTTTTTGCAAGTTGTTGATTGGACTCTTTCTTGGTTCCTTGCTCCATTATAAAACTTATAAAAATCAACTCAATAAAATAGAACCAAGAAAAAGCCAATTTAAAAATAAAACAAACATACTTATTGGTGATAAAAAATATTCATAAGAAAATAGAAAATTATGGAAGGGTTTCAAGCAATTATTTGACAAAAAGACTGAATTGAATCCAGAATTTTCATTTAATGAAATGCCATTGAAGTTTGTAAATTATTCGTTGCTTCCACAATAAAAAATTTTTACCAACAGAAAACAAATCCTAGAAGGAAAACGATAGAAGCAATTGAATCAAATCAAATTTTAGAATGAGTGATTTGATTCAATTCAATTCAATTCAGTTCAATTCAAACTGAATTCCTAAATTTTTTTAATATTATATATTAAATTTAGTGTACCTTGATTTGGAAAATTGATAAAGGATATATCATTTAGTAATAATGGCCGAAACTATTTTGAAAAAAGATAGTTTCACCCAATATTTTTTTATAATAACAGAAGTAATTTTCACCCAATTTCAGCTATCATTAAAATTAGTTTTTCCCAAGTTTATGCCAATTAATTTCAGCAATTTCGGCCACCATCGCTAAATAAATATCCTTATCAATTAAAAAATTTTAAATTTATAAATATACAAAAATCCGTTATTATTATTATTATCAAGAAATCCATTATATTGAGAAGAATTTTATTATATTAAACCATTCTCGGACCTTGAGCCATTAAATCGAGGTACACTAAATTGAGATTCACTGTGCAATATAAATTTAATATGACATTAAAAAAAAATAGGGAAATCCAATTTGTTTCGTTTGGGATGACTATTTATTTATAATAATCGTGTTAATGATGATTCTGCTGTACCAACTAGAATATTGACCCTTTCTTAACGCAAATACTAACGCCAATATGTCAAGTAGCGACAATATTTTTTTGTACACGGTTCCCATAACCATATTAATATGACTAAGGCTAAAAAGGATTAACCGGTTAAAAAATATCTTAACTGGTTAACGGTGTCAATCTCTAATTGAGACATCCATGTTTATTAACTGCCTCAATAAAATACCGCATCACTGTTGAAGAAAGATTGTTGTTACTACACTTTAAAATAAGTTATCAATTTTGAATATTCTACTCTTAACAGTGTATGAAAGTCGACTGCGCCTCTAAACTAAACTAGTCTAATTTAGAGAGTTAATCTCAGATTGGGTTAACACGCATTATATTATTATTATGGTAAATCGAAGTTACATTTTCTTTCTTACGCGCATTTGATTATTTAGATAAAATGGAAAAAACTAAAGTGCCTAAACCCATTAAAAAACTTGATGAAACAGTTATAAATCGAATCGCAGCTGGAGAGGTTTTAATTTAATTATGTATATATTTAAATTGAAACATCTGTTTTGATTATTCATTTGCTTACATATACTTTATAGATTATTCAACGGCCATCAAATGCACTAAAGGAATTGATGGAGAATTCCTTGGATGCTGGTTCTACCAATATACAAATAACAATTAAAGATGGAGGATTTAAACTTCTTCAAATTTTGGATAATGGACATGGGATCAGAGTAAAGAAAAATATTATTTCTTTCGTTCATAAATTTTTTTTTGATTTTTAATATATACATCTTTTCTTATTGAAAAAAAAAAGTTGGAGGATATGAAAATTGTTTGTGAAAGATTTACAACGAGCAAACTTAAAAACTTTGAAGATTTATCAAATATCAGTACATTTGGGTTTCGTGGTGAGGCTTTAGCAAGTATAAGTCACGTAGCCCATGTTACAATCACTACTAAAACCTTTGATTCAGATTGTGCTTACAGGTAACACAAAAAATGTGTATATTTGTATTTTGTTTATTATAGATTATGATTAAATTGCTTCTTTTTTTTTTTTAAAAAAAAAAAGAGCATGTTATTCTGATGGTAAACTTGTTTCTTCAAAACCTGGTGCTAACCCAGAACCAAAACCATGTGCTGGTAATATAGGGACCCAGATCACGGTATTATATTTCATTGACAATAAAAAGGAAAAGATAGCCTAATAATATATTTCTAAAAGATCTGAATAATTATTTGTATCAAACCTTAGGTAGAGGATCTCTTTTATAATGTACCTATGCGAAAAAAAGCATTGAAAAATTCCAGTGAAGAATATAATAGAATCTTAGATGTGGTTAATCGATACGCTATTCATAAATCAGGAATTAGTTTTACATGTAGAAAAGTAATTAATAATCATTTTTATATTAATTGCGATTAATTGATCCGTTATATGATTCTAATATCTTTCATATAATACAGCAAGGCTCAAATCAGGCTGATTTGAGTACACTTCTTTCATCAACAACTTTAGATAATATACGTCAAATTTATGGTGGCACTGCTTCAGAATTATTAGAAATATCAAAAAAATTTCGTAACCTTGAATTTAAAATCAATGGATACATTTCTAATGCAAATTATAATCTTAAAAAGATGGTGTTTTTATTATTCATAAATGGTAAGACTCAAATTGGAAAATTTTAAGTGCCTTTTAATACCACGTATTTTAACAAATGATTTTTATTGAAAAGATAGAGCAGTAGAGAACTCTTCACTGAAAAAAATCATTGAAAATGTTTATACGACATTATTGCCAAAAAATACTCATCCATTTGTGTATCTAAGCTTGAAAATAAATCCTCAAAATGTTGATGTGAATGTTCACCCCACAAAACGTGAGGTTAGTCCATTAAAATTTGCCTCTTGTCTCATCACAACATATTTAGTAATTTCCATATGCATTAAAGGTTCGTTTTCTAAACGAAGATGAAGTTATTGCAAGTATTGGAGATGCAATGCAAGAACGTTTAGCAGGCGCCAATAGTTCTCGTGTTTTTCTAACTCAGGTTTATTACTAAAGTTTTTAAAATACTTAAAATATACAATTAAAGTTTACAAAAATATTAAATATGATTATCATTATAACAAATATTAGACTTTATTGCCCGGATCAAAACCTGTTGATATCGATGCAAATGAATCGGAAAACGTATCTAAAGTTAAATCATCAAGAGAAGGTGCGATATACACACATATGCAAATATTTACGTTCATTTTTTCATAATGAATGCATACAATAAATGTTTAATATTAATATAACTTTAGGCCCTAATGTAATAAGAGGCAATAAACTTGTCAGAACCGATAGCAGAGTTCAAACATTAGATAATTTTTGTAGTTCTAATGGGATTTCAAATGAGAATCGTGGAAAAATCATAGAAAATATCAGTGTGTTATGTAATGATTCTACTGATAACAGGTATTTTCATATTAAATAAATACTTGTGTAGTCATTCATATATTCATTTATTTATTGAAGCCATAATGACTTCTTTTAGTGATCAAAACCTAAATGAGTCTACAAATGAAGGTCTATTAAATTTGAAAAAAAGACGTGAACGAATTGAAGTGAGACTACAAAGTATCTTGACTCTTCGTGAACGTCTAAAAGAGGTCGAGCATAAAGGTAATGATTATGATTATAACATAGTTTTTGTATCCATCACTCCATATCATCCTTTTCAACTATTTTATCTATTTAAAAGGTCTTACAGAATTATTGTCAAATCATACAATGGTTGGATGTGTTGATGACTCATTATCATTTGTACTAATACAACATCAATTAAAACTTTATATGGTAAATTATAATGTCATTGGGTAAATAAATAAATATTTTTTCTATCGATATTTTCAAATATATTCTTTTATTAATTAAGATTATGAAATGTGTAGAGAAGAATTATTTTATCAATTAACTCTTCAAGAGTTTCACAACTTTGGATTTATTCATTTATCCTCACCTGCTCCAATATATGAACTTGTATTATATGCTTTGGAAAATGCCAATACTACAGAAGAAGCACCTGATGATTCATTAAAATCTAATGAGGAAATCTCACAGGTATTAATTTAAGTTAACATATATGTGTTTTAATTATGCTATTTTACTGATATTATAACAATATTGATGTGATATTAATCTATATGTTTATAATAGATAATAGTTGATTTGTTAGTATCACGGAAACAAATGTTATTGGAATATTTTTCAATGACAATAGATGATCAAGGCCAATTAACAACTTTACCATTAATGATCAATGGTTATTCGCCTAATTTGAATAAACTTCCAATATTTTTATTACGTCTAGGTACAGAGGTAAAGAAATTGATTATTAATTATTGTATTACTATTTGTTTTTTACCGTTTTTAAAAAAAATATATATGTTAAAAGGTTGATTGGACAACTGAAATTAATTGTTTTGAGTCACTTGCAAAAGAATTTGGATTATTCTATGCACCGGAGCCACCAAAACTAATGGAAGAATTTGAAGAGGAGATTAATAGTAGCAATAAAAATAATGATGATGAAACAATTGATAATGAGGAAAATGAAAATAATTTGATGGATTTAGATGATGTCCAGAAGAATGAAGAAGAAATTATAACGACTAAATCTGATAATGAAAAGCAGGAAAGTCAAGTAAACAGAGTTGGACAAAAACAAAAGGCCAGTTTTTTAAAGTTTCGTTGGCAAATTGAAAATTTGATTTTTCCGACTTTAAAAGGTGAACAGTTTATTGCGCCAAAGAGTATTATAGAAAATGGGCATGTAATTCAAATTGCTAATTTACCCGATTTATATCATATATTTGAAAGATGTTGAAAAATCCACTTACTAACATTAAAAAAAGCAATAAAATTGGTGTAATCAAACCAATAAAAAAGAAAACTTTTGATTTCTGGTAGTAATTTGTTTAACAGATTATTGTTGTATGTGATTATACATTAACCTTCTTATGCTTGGTTAAATAAATGGCTTGTACAGTTTTTATCTTATGATTTTACATGATTCATGTAATCGTTTTATTAGTTTTATTAAATTTACCTATTAAAATTTCCAAATTTACCTTTGAAGGATTTGTTATATTTATTTATTATTAAAATTAAATTTTATTCACATCATCAACCAATAGGTTAAATTAAAGTTTTGTTTGAGCTTTCCTCAGTTAAAAACCTATATCAATTATAAATTCTGAATGTGCCTCTTTTTTTTAATAATTAATATGTTCCTACCATCATCCATCAATCACTAAAATATATGAGACCTTTTTCAGTAAAACCAACCTCTGACCAAATTTGTGCTTTTTTATGATTTACAGAAGTTGTATCTAGCAACCAAATCGTCATACCAAGTGCCAAAATCTCTGTAATATGTAAATGTATCTGCAATTCTGTAATTCCTGCAACAAAACCAGACAAAGTGAACATTGGTATTACCAAGAATTTCAGGGATCAATAATGTTTAACATCACAATGTAATGTGATCATGATATTTGTTTTTTGCTTAGGATTTATATTAATTGAATGTACAGGACAAAAGAGAATTTCATTGCACAAAATCTCTATTGATTGAAAATTGATTGTTATTAATATATCTTATTTCATCTATTGATATTATTATTCAATAAATCATTAGCTGCTAAAACATGGATGTTTTGACAAATATAGTCATATTATATAATGCAAGTAAAAAAAATTTTTATCATTTAAATTTTGCATAAAGAGAGTCAGTGCAAAGTGGTTATATCATAATCAAACTCCACATTACTTATTATGAGTTGAATATCATTTCTGGTTAACCTTGAGATTGCATCTGCAGAAAAAGAATGAACATGAGATATTCTAGCAACACCGATTTCATTGAATCAGAAATATCTACAGAAAGTTGTTGCCTAACTTCTCTATTTAGTATTACTTGTGCTGAATGGAGAGGAATTTGATTTTCAGTCAAGATGCTATCAAGTCGGTTTTTCAGAGCTTCACCAAAATAGTAGTAAGATCTAATTTCTTTTTGATTTTTATGATTGGTAGGACCTTCTGCATTGCAAATTCTCTGATATAAATGTAAAAAGTTTATGAGGCTTGAAGATTCATTGACAAAGCTTGACATGGTAATTTCATTTTCTGGTGTTGATGATGTTGACCGTTGCAATGGACTATTCAATAATGGTGGTGTTTATGGTTGTGACTAAAGACTAGTGCCGTAAGTTATGATGATGGTAGTAATTGTATTTACGGCATATAAAAAGTGGTTGCAACCACTTTTGCAACCATACTTTTAAAAAATCATGTATTACCAGAAAATTGCAATGACCGTCTGTAATTTCTAATTTCATCAAAATTTGGGGCCAGTTATCACAATACAAGCACACTCGGGTCCATTTAATAATTCATTGGAGGTAGTTTTTCTTCAGCAGCTCCTGAACTAGCAAAATTTGCGGTTTGTATAATTTCAGTTACTACTTCATCAGCTGCTTCGGAAAGAAATTGGTCCACTTTTTCTTTTTATACATCACAAAAAAAGAAATAAATTGACATCTGAACATGTTTTTAAATTGGTGTATATTTATTATATTTATTTCAATCACAAATTAAAATGTCAAAAAATAATAACAACGATAATATAGATATTACAATCATTGATGGTGATGTAAATGTGGGGAGCGAAAGTGATGAAAATGATGATGATGATGATGATGATGATGATGATGATGATGATGATGATGATGATGATGATGATGATGATGAAAGTGAGGGTATTGATGAAGATGAAACAATTAGAATAGAAAATAGTGAAAGTGGTGATATTGAAAATGATATTTGGTTTTATTTTTTTTTTTTAAAAAAAAATGCATTTTCCAATTTTGAATTACGATCTACAAGTTGCGTTTTTGCTGGCCATAAAAAAAAAACGCGTAAATTTTAGTATGTAGATCAGTACCAAAGGTAGAGTTACCTGCTCCTGAATTCCATTACTTGATAAGTATTGTACAACAAGGAACGGAACAACTTTGTTTTCTATAAAAAGAATAAACCTTCTAGTTGAAGGAATTCCAAGTCGTGTTGTTTGATTAGGCGAATATAATTTTTAGATTGATGTTTGCTGTTTTGTTTTAGCCACGAATTAAATAAAGCACATCGTGGTGGTTAAATCTTTTTTATAGTAAAAATTTATTAAAGTTTTAAGAGCCGATGTTTTTTATGGGAATTATAAATAAAGATGAGTCATACATAATTAGTCCTATCTTGGTGATACTTGTGACACACACATGATAAATTCCACAGATATTGACGATAAGACAAATTGCAAATTAAACTTTAATATGAAAAAAAAAATAAATTATCATTATCATGGTAAATCTAAATAGCAGAGTACAATAAATCATTGTGTATGATATAAATAAAGGGCAACATTAGTTACCAGACAATTGGTGTTATTAATATGCTAGTTATTTACATAAATATAATATATAAAATTACAAAAATTTGGGCGAATCAAGGCAAAGTTGGTATTTCTGGATTTGGTTTATTTTTAGTTGCGTATCCCAACGATTCTAAAACAGCTTGAAGTTTAGGTCCGATTGCTCCTCCGGCATAATTTCCACCAGCCTTAATTGAGTCTTCTAAGCTTACACCTCTCATGATTCGATATCTCATTAGGAAATCAGAGGTCTCTGTATACAATTTTTCACTCACGTGACTAAGACTTGATCCTCGTTGAAAAGGTAGTAAACTAGTTTCCAAATAAAATAATTGATCATAGGCAGTTTTGTTTGCTACAATATTTTGAAATACCAAACCTTCCGTTAATAAAGCTAATGATAATGGTGTTGTACTAGTTGCTAACATATCAGTTGCAATTTTATATTGAGGAGATACAATAAACTTGGAATAAAAAATATCCAATGAATCAAATTCCGTTCCTTTTGGAGCAAATTCATTTAATTTGTTTGTAAGATCGGTTAATGGTGTACCGTTTGATGTTAAGACTACAAATTTATCAAATATACCCTCAATAAATCCATTAAATATTATCTTGTTATTTGGTAAAATGGTTCCATCTATTAGTGGTGTCAGTTCTGTTATTGCTTTTCTAAAATAATTTCTCCAGAGTGTATGAAATCCCAAGCCATGCAAGAATTCGTGTAACGTCACATGTAAAAATCCTATCTGAGTTGGAGCAATGTCTATCCCATCTTCTTCAAACCAAAAATCAAATTCGGAGCTAAATTCTGCTATTATATCGTTAGGTAAAAATTCCGGATGTGTTTTAAGCCCAAACTGCTTTGCTAATGCTTGTGGATACAGTCTAACTACTCCGTCTCCGCTTTTCAACCCAATCACTCTAGATGGTCCTGCTTGACCTAATAAAAATAATTTTTTTCTTTAGAAAGTTTTTTAAAAAAGAAAAAAACACTAATTAAAAGTTGTGATTATGATTATTATTATTATTATTATATACCTATCACAAGATCACCCAATGGTTTAAAAGAAATCCGTACCACAACTTGTTCTTTAAATTTTATAATTTTAGAAATAATTTGTCCTGTCTTTTCCAAAGTTTTTTTAACTTTATTACAAAAATTTACTTTTGTACTATTGCATTCTATTAAAATATTAAACATATTATCCTGGTTATTCGCAGCTTGATTTTTAGCGGGTGGTATGTCTGGTTCTGTGACCAACATACAACTAGTCAACGTAATCTCTTCATCAAGTGGATTTTTACGATCGTAACAGGATGCCGATGCTGGTGGTGTTTGTGGTTCTGGCGCTGGTGCCGGCAAGGAAAAAACATTTGTAATGATGAAAAGTGACAATAATAACAATAATGTTAATAATGGTATTGGAGAATAATGACGCATTTTCTTGTGTATTTTTTTCAAAAAAAAAAAAAAAATAAAATAAGAAAATAATAATTTATTTATTTTTCAAATGCATACTTGTGTGTGCTTTTGTGCGTGTATTTATATATGTATTTTTTATTCTTTTTTCTAAATGAAGGAAAGTTATTAGAGATAAATATTTGCTATAAACATATTGTATGATTTTATCCAAAAAATATCAATTCATTTTCACTAAAAAAAGTTGAATTGTTGAAAACTCCGTCCGCTAATGGCATTTAATTCGATCTGTTACTATCAATAGATTTGCCGTCATCGTTTTCATGGAACATTATAAAGTAAAAAATAATTAGATCCAATTATTATTAATTAATAAAAAAACCACAATTAAAACTTTTGATAGTAATGTACGTATTCTTCAATTTAATTCAATATCAAGGTTCATTATAATTATTTAATACATTGTTATGTACATCAAAAAACACAACATTATAAATAAAACAAATAAAACCCAAATAAGAATTTTTTATGGAAATGGCCAGCTAATTATAAATTTTTAAAATAAATAAAAGATTAAATTTGTTCCTGCAAATGATTTCTTTTTTTCCTTTTGCTTATTGATATTTTTGTGATTATCTTTTTCATCTTTTTTTCACTTTAAATGGACTATAAACAATAAGCTCCGCCTAGAATGAATTAGATATTATGCAAGAATTACTATTATAAGATTATTTCTATTAATAATACAATAAAAAAATAAAATATCAATGAATGAATGTGAGAAGACAACAAAAATAATTCAAAGTCTAGTCAATAAGTAATTTTTTGTTTGGTAAGGAGAATTGCAGCCTGAAAGAACGTAATCTTAAAAACAATTAATCCGTGACCACTTTGATGGCCTTAATAGGAAAATAATCTTAATATTCCAAATTGATTTCTATCCCACAACAATATCCCAGTCACCATTACTTTAAATTTCATAAACATTAATTTAATATATATTTTTTCTATATCATGATTTATCATTTTTTTATTACGAAATCATCATTTTCAAGATATTTTTTATTGCTAACTTTTGTTCAATTTTCAATTTTGGATGATATCTATTTTTTACATTTTTATCCACAAATCTTGAATGTGGATTCAAAAACGAGCGAGTTACTTTTGTTATCAATCCAAGTGAGGTATGTAGACAAAACCTAAAGCATTCATACATATCATGATATTTGTGATTAAAAATAAATATATATATATAAACTTCTTTTACTAAAAGTAAAAATTTCCACATAATTTAATTATGAAGTTACACAACATATCGTCAAGAAGCAGGAGGTCCATATAACTGGTTACAGCGTTGTTCAAAAGCAGTAATCATCATCTCGTTAACTTGGTCTGAAAAAATATTAGCAATTTGAAGGTGTAATGGTGAAGAGAATTCAAATTCAACTCGAAAATCTAGTATACAATGTGTTGTTTCCTCCTCTCCCACATTATCGTCATTATTGATATATGGAGTGAAATTCCAAATAGCTACTAAATGACGAAAAAGCACATCTGATGATGCAACCGCCTGGTCCAAAAACGAATTGTATTAATAATGACTATTATAATAATAATAAATTTGATGATTTTTATTTCCAATACTTTATATTTACCTGCACAAATCTTGGAGACTCACAAGTGACTTCAGAGACATAAATTTCCGAGAAGCCTTGAAAACCAACACCTAAAGCAGCGGTAATTATTGTTGTTTTATGATCAGCAGATTGTATGTTTAGTATTTCTGAACTGGTACAAAATGGAACAAAAAGAGAATATTCATCAATTTTCGAAACTACTTCATAAAGTTGATTTTGTGAATACCTTGAAATTTCAATATTGATATAATTAAAAATTGAAAAAAAATTTTTTAAAATAAAAAAGATTTTTTATTATTATTTATTATTCATTACCCAATTAATTTATGTCCTGTATAACACTTTCTAGATGATAATAAATCAGTCAAACCAAAAAAATTACGTCTATGATTCTTAATCCTTGAAAATGATAATTGTGGGTGTATTATTGGATATTTTGATGATGATTGATATTTTAATGAAGAAGGAGAATGCATTATTAGTGTTGATGATGATTTTGTTGTTGTTGATGATGATTTAAGTTTTGAAAAATGTAAAGTATTTGATAATAATCTATTAATAGTCATGATATTTTTCATCATTTTCTCTATTCTATAAACAGTAAATATCTATCTCACAAAGTAAATGAGCAGGAATAAGGAGAGTTAAACAGCAAGGAAAAAATAAACATTCTAAAGAAAAAAATATTGATTCTTTTTGTTGCACGATATATTTGCGAGCTTGACCCCCAGAAAATTTTTATATATGGAAATGATTGATTTTTAAATATATTAATATAGCAATAGTGAATTTCCGGATTGTTGTTATAATCATTCATTAGTGTAATAATCATCTCCATATATGGTTACTGAAAACTGTCCTACACATTGCAGCATTAAGATCATAATAAAAATAGATAAAATTTTTTTAAAGTTCATACATACATTTTCCTTTTTTGGTTACGAATCAATATTAAAGTTGTGTCGACATCCACAATTAGTAAGTGACACGAGAAAAACCCAGATAAAAAAACTTTTTTTAAGATTAATTTAATTAATTAAATTCAAGTATCCTTGTTTTTTTCCATTGTAGTTGCAATTGTTATTTTACTTGTTTGTATGTTTCTTCTTTCTTGGTTAAATTATATCAAACGTCTTAGTATTTCTTATACGTATAAATGTATATAATCTTTTGGGGAGATTTTAAAATTTCTCGCGTAACAATTTTATTGTTTTGTATGAATGTATGTATTATTGATGTACATAGTTCCGCTCTTTCAATAATGTAACCTTTTTATAACGAACACCAAGCAAAATCACACTATAAACAAACCTCTTTAAAACTAATTTAGCGATCTGAGGCACAAAGAATACATATAAAGTGGAAAGTTCGCTATAGAGAGAGTGTAGCTGTATGTGATAAGGTAGTGCAAATAACAATCAACCTACTACTAATAGACAATACCTCGTGCATGATGTCATAATATATTCGATGCCAATCTCTATTTATGGACTTTTTTTGCTTTTTCTAATTGGATTTTGTAATTTTTTTTTTATTTTTTTTTCTATTTTCTATTTTCGAAAGCAAAAAAAAAAAAAAAAGAAAAAAAATTTATATATTTTTTTTTAATGATATTCTTTTGATTAAATAATAAATAATAAATAATCATTATTCTAATTAGAATAATAATTAACAATAGAAAATAATAATATTAATATAGGAAGTAATATAGGAATATAGTAAAATTAAATTAATAATTAAACACTACTAGTCATAGTATTATTATTAATAGTATAAGGTTTATATAATTACAATTTTATAATATACAATTCTAATTTTATAATGGATTTAAACAGTTTCGATCAATCTATTTGTCAGTCAAAATATTTTCAAACTACTCTAATGCCAAATCAACCTCACGCTTTTACCCAACCTTTACATAAAAATAATCTTGCGAAAGCATATAAAACATACGAGCCTGAACAAAAACTATCTTATTACAGCCATGCCACACCAGATTATACAACAACGGACCATGGCCACCATGCGATTATAACTCAACACAATAACAACAACCTGAATAATTACAACCATAACCTTAATAATAACATTAACAATAATAATAATATGAACAATAACCACCATAACAATATGAACAATAATAATCATCATAATAATATCCATCATCATCATAATAATAATTACAATAATTACAATCAAAATAATAATATTCTTAATAATGGTTTAAAGGCAAGAAGTCCTCGCGTCACTAAGGCAGCTACCTTAGAAGCAAACGATAAACCATTCAAATGTATCATGCCAGGTTGTGTGAAATCGTACAAGAACCCTAATGGATTAAAATATCATAACGAACATGGACACCGTTCGATGTTATCGGAGGCAGAAGAGAAGAAACCTGTTGTTAAACCATTTAGATGTCTTTTTTCTGAGTGTGATAAACGATACAAAAATCCCAATGGATTGAAGTATCATTTGGAACACGCCCATAACCATGCAATGATTCATAATAGAGGGTAGAAGAAGAACAAGTGAGAAAAAAGGAATTGTGAAGGGTTGTGAGAGATAAAAGATATATATATATATATATAATAAAGAGAAGAAATTAATTAATTAATTAATTAAAGAAGATAATTAAAATAAAAAAAGAATTATTACTTTCAAAAATTAACATACAAAATTAATTAATATATATGTACATAATATATATACATATATTAATAATTCTATGTTTTTTTTTGTTGTTTTTTTTTATAGTTTGTTTTTATGATGATGCTAAAAATTTTAGCAACAAAAATATTTTTCTCTTGATTTTTTTTTTTTTTAGAACAAAAATAAATTTTTTTCTTTTTCTATAATTTTTAATTCTTCACAATGAACACACCTTCTTACACGTATATGTTTTTTCAATTCTGCTTTTTTTTAATTTCAATCTCTCACCTTTTTTTTTTTTTTGATAGATTAATTGCTAGATTTTGCAAGGTTATGAAATATATAAATATATATTATGATATTATGATATTTAGACACATTTTATATTATTAACATCGCAAAATAAAAGCAATGATTTTCAAAATATATACAAATATATACATATATATATGTATATATTAGAGAATGAAAAAATAAAAGAATCTTTCTTTTTATATTACGTTTATTATTCGAAATTTTTGAATGAAAAGAAATTTTAGAAAAATAGATTTAATATATATATATATGAGACAGACAATAAAAAATAATAATAAAAAGAATGTTGATGGATGGATCTTTGTTTTTTTTTTTTTAAAAAATTTTTTTTTACGTTTATATACTTTTTTATATATGCATAATAATAAATAAATATAATTTCCCTTTATATTTATTTATTTATTTTTAATAATGCAGTCAATTTGGTTTTATTAAACTTTTTTTTTTAAACAAAATGTATTGTTATGTGGAAAAAAAAAATAAATAATTTTTTTTGGAGTAAAATGAAATTAAAAAAAAAAATAGTTAGCATATTATTTTTTTTAAAAAAAAATTTTACCCGAATAGGATGTCGATCTATCACGAGACCACATTTTTCAAAAGATGTTAATCCATTATGCTTTGTGCAAATTATGTCTATTGCTACTTTCTATGCCAAAATACTCAAAGGCATGAATAGTGAAAATCAACAATGGAGAAAGTAAACGCACCGAGAAAAACTTTGCTCGCTAAGTCAATATTTCATTTTCAAAAGGACAACAGAATACCACTATAAATTTAAACTTTATTAGTTATCTAATAGGATAAATAAATGAGTTATGTCACCTTAAACACCACCTCGTCAAGTGTTTCTAATGTGGATTGTTGATTTTATTTGTCATCATAACCACCATCATCACACATTCTGATGCAAAGGATTTAAAATTTTATTATTAGATGAACCACCCATAATACCACTTGAATGAACGAATTAAGTAACCACTGACACCACTTTTATGTCATATTCTCCAATTTCTTAATATTTCGGGTACATATTTTAATGCGATAGGGAGCTTCCGAAGGAGAAAAATTAGCATAATCAACTTTTCATTATATTTGGTTTGATCATTCCATGATAAAGTGTTAACCCTATAGTAGTTGATAATAATGAAACAAAACAATATTTCTAAATAAAAACTTGATGATTATCATTATACTTACAAATGTTCCTGATTAAATTCATTATTCCAATTCTATTTGTAATGCTTCTCAAATTAAACTCATCAAGTTGTTTCACAGTATATATACCTTCCTCTTTAAATTGTTGGTTTGTTTGCTAGCATGTAATATCCAAGATGCTGTTATATTACTATTGGAATGATACCCAAATAAATAATAATGCACATTCCATAATTCCAAGATGTAAATTTATTTACTGGTCATTCTTTTGCAGGATCTTTGTAATTGGAATGTAAATGAATCTGTGTGCGAGGTCCTTCATGAAAAAAGATTCATTTCATGGCAGGGAACTGCTGGTGGCTCTCTGGAAATGCCATCTAATAATAATAATGTAGCAGATATAAATGATGTAAAAACAGGAGGCAAAGAATAGATTATTAAAAAGAAAAATACCTACGCAAAATAAATATTTAAATCAGCAAAGGAAACAAATCAACATGTTAATTCGATATGTGTTGTGAAAAAAAAATGAAATAATAAATCAAAAGGATAGTAACCTATACATTTGTACATCTTCATTGACAACTATCTTTATCATATTCTCCTTTAGTAATCAATTCTTTTTCATAAATGTTTTTTAGTTTAATCAGATGTTCTATTTTGACCAAGGCCTAATAATGTAAGAGCATTGATCATCACGAAAAAATTATGCATCAACTTTTCAAAAAATTAAATATCATCATAATAAATAATCCAAATGATAATCTTGGCATCAGCTTCCATTAATAGCAATAGCACTAAAAAGATACATGGTTATTAATAGGGGTCAATATTTCATATAACTTATATATGGACATGTTTGATATTTATTTCACTTTACCTTTAGTACATGGAATGATTCAATATAGGTGTTATTTATTCTCTTTCTAACTTGATAATTTTATTATAATAATTATATTTACCAATATTGCCAATATCACCCTAAAGATGTAGATTTTATAATTGATTTCTGTATCATGTGGCGGGCCTATTGAGACCAACAAGTTTTGATCTGGTCATATAAAATACTAAATATGGTTAAAATGTTATACCAATGGATCCAACGGGCCGGTATGAATAGATCGACGTTATAGATTTATATGTGAAGAGTAAAGTAAAAATGTTTATTTCTGAGCGGAAAATAACTTTTTCCGAGAGAATTGGGTTTGACTTTTATCAGTATTAGCAATGAAGTCGCTCTAAATTTCGTTGGTAAGCCACATGAATTTGGTTTGATTTTAATTATTTTAATGATTTGATTTTAATTACAATCAAACTTCGTTTCAACGAATACATTGCATTTAAAATTCATTATACCAAAATTACCGATACTAATACTAATACGTACGTGCCAATCGAATTAATTCATTGTAATGCGAGTTTAAGGTTCGCTGAAACGAGGTTTGGCTGTATGTTTGTGCAAATTTCATCGAGTAGTACAGATCATGTGGATTTAAAAGTTTATTTTGATTTTTATCATCTTTTTATTAAAAACAAAAAAGAAAAATTCTTTTATATAATAATAATAATAAAATAATTATGGAAGAGTCAGCCGAATTATCGACAGATAATATTAAGAGATTAAAAGCTGCACGAATTTTCACTGAAAATTCACGATCTATTACCTCTATGGATTTTGATAGTGAGGGTAAAATATGCGTAACTGCCTCTGAAGACGATTCTATTAATGTTTATGATTGTTTAAGAGGAAGGTTTGTATGTAAGAATCATTGAAGTATCACTGATTATTATTTATTTATCAAAGTATTATATATAATTACGCTCCAGGAAAAATTCATTGATTATTTTTTAAAAAAGACACAAGAAAATGTTGTTAAGCAAAAAATATGGAGTTCATCTTACACGGTTCACACATCTTTCTTCAAATATTTTATACGCGTCTTCTAAAGGAAATGGTAAAGAAAAAACCATAGATCCTTCCATTAAAATAACATTTATAATAATAATTATTAATTATAATTAACATTCTTTAATTTAGATACAATAAGATATTTATCATTACACGATAATAAATTTATACGTTATTTCCAAGGTCATCAGAAAAAGTAATTTTGAAAAAATAATATCATCAAAAAATATATTTATCTTTTGTTATATTAAAATTATATTATTCTTATTGTGCTTTTGTTGTGCGTGGAGAAATTATTAGAGTTGTTTCGTTGGAAATGTCTCCAAAAGATGATCTTTTTATTTCTGGTGCTAAAGATGAAGATGTACGTCTTTGGGATTTAAAATCAGGTTCATGTGTGGTAAATATATAAAAAATTAATAGTTATAATTGTTTTTTTTTCGTATCCAAGGAAGTTCCATGTAAATTAAATAAATATTTTTTCAAAATAAAATAGGGTCATCTTGAATTCTCATCTGGTACACCATGTCTTTCATATGATCCATCTGGTCTTGTTTTTGCTGTAGGATTGCAATCTTTAGAAAATTCAGTACGGCTTTATGATGTCCGAAAATATGAACAAGTATTAATCAATCTTTTTTTATATTAAATTTTTTTTATAATCATTAAAATCATATTTAATATATAAATTATTTACATATTTCATTTTTTTAGGGTCCTTTTGCATTATTTAATTTTTCCGACAATTTTTTTGCGCCTAGTGCTTATCCAAACTCACCAGAACTTCCTGAATGGACTGGATTAAAATTTAGTGATAATGGACTAAAAATTTTAATCAATACGTCAGGAGATGTTCACTATGTTATGGATGCTTTTAATGGACAATTACTTAGAAGATTAGTAGGTCACGTTGGCCATAATGATTCATCTAGTGTATCAACTGGAGAAGTAGCTTGTTTTGCACCTGATAGTTGTTATGTATTTTCTGGTAAATAAATATTTATAATAGATAAATAGATGTATATTCGTAAATATATTATGTTTGTTGTACACATTCATATATATATGCATATTAAATTGAATATTTGATATTAGGATCTCAAGATGGGTCAATTCATGTCTGGGATATCGAAACACCTGTTAAACGATCAGATAGGATTTCAGGTGGTTTGGATTTAAAATCTATGCATGTTATTGATCATCATGTTCGGCCAACTCAAGTTGTAAGATTTAATCCAAAAAGATTAATGTTAGCAAGTGGATGTAAAGATTTGGTAATTAATGCTTTTTTTATATATTCCCTTGTATTATATAAACTTATTTGCAGTTTTGAACTGATTGCATATTAGGAAAGATTATATATTTTTATTATATAAAATCAAAAAATTTTTTTAGTTTAGTATAAAGTCTACTTCACTCCAATAAAGTTACAATTATTGGATTAATATAATAGATTTATTTTAAAGCTATACTAATATATTAATTGTATTTTTTTTAGATTTTTTGGTTACCTGCAGTAAATCTTGGGGAAGGGGATGATGATGACGATAATGAAGAAGAAGAAGATGCAACTAATTCATTTAATTGTTCTTCTGATAAAATGGAAATTTCTGAATAAATGTTTTTTTTTTCTATTTTGTATATATAGTTGTTTCTAGAGCTTTAAATGGTGATAGGATTTCTTTGTTTTATCAACTTAGAAAATTTTAGTTATAAATTTTATATATTTTGACGCAAGTAGTTTTTCCCTATTTCCAATAAAATTTCAAGTGTCTTGATATAAATGGCTACTTCATCAAATCTCCCCAACTAGGAGAGACTCCTATTGGACTTTTTCATTATTGAGAGCGTGTTGAAGAAGTGTTGTCCAGTATACGTTAATGGTTTGTATAGGTGTATAAAGTGGAATGAAAAGTTGAGAGCAATTTTGGATTACCCAGCAATAGGAATAGCAGTTACTGAATGAGGAGGGTCCCGAGGCTTCTGCTAGTGTTTAATTACTCACCATCCATTGCCTTTAAGTTGTGCCATTAAAAATATGTCTTGTTCTGATTTAGAAAGAGCTTAAAAGGATTCACGTAATTCTGCAAACTTTCTTGGGGAATTTGGCTGGACAACCACAATCTACTTTCAAAAATCAATTGCTTTTTGCTTTAAGTTGGGCCGTCAAAAATATGTCTTGTTCTGAATTAGAGAGAGTTTGAAAGGATTCTCTTAATTCCGCGAATTCTTCCTTGGAAATTCTTGAAGAGCAACCACAACCTTTTTCTAAAAAATCAATTGCCTTTTCATATTCATTAGAACCATTATATTTATCATTACTTTTCAACACACATTGATTTATATTATTAATAAATTAAGTTAAAAGTATGAATAAACATTGGTTATCAACCATAATTCGCAATGATCATTGATCTGGTGTCGTCGATTAATGCATTTATCAGCATAAATCGACACTTTCAAAATTTCCTGATTAAAGTATTGTATATATTTTTAAAAATATTGATAGAATGCGTTGATACAATGTGTATCCTGCGATATCACCTTTTCTCCAACAAACTGAGATCTAGTCAACATAACAAAAAGCAGACAGTTTAAAGGCAAATTTTTAATAAAATCTTATTAATATAAATGTTATGCAGAAATGTTTTATTTAAATGGTTTTTTTCTGATAATATATATATTTGAAAATTAAAATATCAAAAATTCTCTTTTAACAATGTTGCCACATGGCTTATTAAAGTTGAAGATAAGTATTGAAATCATATTTAATTCAAAAATTATTAATCATTTTTGTTGGTTTGATTTAGTTGATGAAAGGCGGTGCGATTTACGCAAAAGATTCCGTGCAGCTGGTGAAAGTAAAGTTGCTCGAATTCTAGGACTTGAAATTTTACTAATTTTGAAAAAAAACAACAATTAAAAAATAAATTGACTGATTTCCTTTTTTTACTCTCAAAATATAATAGAAAATGCAAATGTTAAAAAAATACATACTTTGAAAATGGGCTTTGCGTTATTGATGTTATTCTTGGAGATTTCAATGACAAATTACGTTTTCTCATATTTCTTGAGGCATTACTAGAAAGTTCCATTCCAATTATTTCTCTGCGAGAAGTAGGTGGCAAATGAAAAGCAGGTCCTTATAAATACAAATAATTTAATTTAATAACAATGATAACAACAAATACCAGAATCGTGTATATATATATATATATATATATTAATTAATTAAAGAGGATACCAATTATACCTGGTGTTTGATCTCCACCAATTAACAAAGGTGTTCCTTCAACCATACCCCAAGTCATTAGTTCTGAACTATCGATCTGTGAAGGATTTGGTGATGGTGTTGCAGGAACAAAACTGTAACCTCCAACTCTAGGTGTTTGTGATGCACTTCTTACTATCATTATTGATTATTGACAATTAATATTAATAAAAATAAAATAATTACAACGAATTAAAAATATTTACAATGTATATAAATTATAACATACTTGAAGAATCTAAGTTGAGTCCACCACCAGCAGCGGCAGCAGCTATAGCGGCAGCATGATTATTTATTGACTATTATTTATTTTTTTTAAAAAAAGGAATTTGGTTATAAAATGATTAATATTTATGACTTCAATTATCAAAAGGAAAATAAAATAAATACCATTTCTTCAGCAGATTCGAATCTTGTCGCATCATGAACAATTTTTTTTGGAGGTGCTCTTGAATGGTCTTCGATATTTTGAGTTTGATGACCTTCTGGATAAAACATTAATGAATTACGAACCTTAAATAATTAAAATGGATAGATAAATATAAATAAATCGATCATTGGCTATAATCAAATTTACATTCATAATAACTGATATATATAATATTACTTTATATTTCCAAGTAGAAATTTCAGCAGGTTTCTCTTGATTTGATCCTTCTATCAACTTTATGCTATCATTACTATTGTTTTCAATGGATAATTGCTCTTTTTCATATAACCATTTATATTTTTGCTTTCTTTGTTCATTAGCTTTATGCATTAGTTCTGAAAAGGTAGGGGAACTTTGGTCAAGGATTTAATTAGTGGCGACAATAACGATGATTGTAAATAGATGACAAATCATATATAAAATTAATTAATCAATCGAAAGAAGAAATAAAAGGATATGAAGCATTGTCCTCGCTAGTATATTTTGTTTGAAAAGAATCTAAAGACATGTTTGTATCATAATTTTTCTCCAAGGATTCGTGAGCCTTAAATAAATTTGTTGATCTACTGGTTGTAGATGCTGGTGTGTCCCATTCTCCAATTTGTCTGGATGTTAAAGGAGTTTCTGATGGTGGTATTCTTGGAGTTGCAACTAAATAATTATTAAATAAATGGATGAATGAATAAGTGAATTTATATTTTCTATTATATATATAGAAAACACATCATATAATGAAAACAGTACAATGTTATCTACCAGGTGTCTTATTAGCTGGTGTTGTCAAATTGGTTAATTTAATTGTAGCTTCTCGAATAACATCAGGATCATTCGTACCCAAAGCATCGACATAATCATTCTGAGCTTCCAAAGTTATAAGAGAGGGGAAAAAATCTCTTTTAATAATTTCACTAATTGCCTCGGTATAAGAATCTTCATCTAATATAACTTGTTTAGGTTGAGATGTTTGTGTAGTTAATGTAGTAACAGTTTGATCGGTACTAATTTTAATTAAATCTTTTGGAGTTGTTTGATCCATTATTATAATTAATTTTATTGTTAAATTTGGCGAAGTGAACCAATAATTTCAGTATAAAATTTGACTGTGCCACATACAAATTTGTTAATGAAATGTTCGATTTCACGTGACTGGAAAATAATTATGTCACGGGGAAATTTCAGGGATTAAAAATTGTTATTCTTGAAAATATTCTGGTTTTCAAAGTCTTACTATTACCAATTCCCAGCATAAGTTTCTTGACAAAGAGATGTGTTATGATCCCGTGATGGGAAGTTCTTTTGTTAGATTTGGTTTTCTTTTTAAGGCGTCTGCTAATGCTTATTGATCCACCATCCATTGCCTTAAGTTGAGCCATTAAAATATGTTCAGGCTTGAAAGGATTCACGTAATTCTACAAATTCGTTCTTGGAAACTATTGATGAACAGCCACAATCACAACCTTTTTCTAAAAAATCAATGCCTTCATCAGAACCATTATATTTAATTTTCATTTTTGTCAATTTATTATACATCAACTTATTATCACTTTTAGATTAAAAATTCCGTATAACATCCCAAAGAACATGCCATTTATTTTAGGAGGATATGTAATTCTTGTTTTGTCATAGACAAAATTGAAATCAAATGTTTATTATTAATACTTGTACTAAGTTATTAAGTTTATGTATTACAGATAATAAACAAACAGAAAAGGGAACCCAATTTGGAACATTAGTATTTTAATAGCAATTTATAACATAATATGACTACTTCAAAAAATAAATTTATTAAAAAATAGAAATGATATTTTTAGTTATATAAAAAAATAATTAATCGTAAAGTTTGCTATTATTATTACTATTATTAAAAATCAACGCCAAATGATTTCTTGATCTTATTTTTCATTGATTTCCACTGCTTAGACATTGCCTGAGATTTTTTTAATAGACCCAATTCGTAAAGTTCATCAGTGTTTATTCGTTTTCTAAGGCAATACTTTAATAAAATGGTTTTATCTTCCTTGGTCCACACCCTTGAATTTGTACAATGATGGATATCTGATGCAATTAGATCATCACTTTGTTGGTCCTGATCTTGTTGTGATGAACTACTACTTTGAATAGTAGTAGTAACTTCCGCCACTTCTTCTCCCTTTTCCACTTCTTCTCCCTTTCCCACTTCTTCTCGCTTTCCCACTTCTTCTCGCTTTCCCACTTCTTCTCTCTTTCCCATTTCTTCATCATAATTTTCCTTGAAAATAATTTTTAAAAAAATTAGATTATGATATAGCAAACTTTTGTTACCAAAATAAAATAATGGAAATACCATATATGTTGGTTGAAGTATTTTAAAAAGTTCTTCTGGTTTTAGTTGCATTAAATTTAACGTCTTTTTGTATAAGATTTTTAAATCATTATCTAAATCATTACCATCATCGCCATCACTATGTTCAGTCTTTAATTTTTTTTCATTGCTAGTATTAGAATAAATGAAAATACAAGAAAATATAAAATTAATACTTTTATAGAAAAGCTCATGAATCTCTCTATGATAACAATACTTACCCATGTTTATTCTCTTCTCGTTCTCTCTTTCTTCCTTGTGGATTCATCTTAATGGAGCGTTGCGAGGTAGTTTTTTGGTCAATCTCGATGATTTTGCGTTTATTCCCGAGCTCGAGTTAACTTTTACTACACTCGTCGATTAATTGCAAGTTTTTATGTTCAATACTCGTCAATTAATTTATTTTACAAGTTTATTTAGCAATTATCCTGCTCACTGCCTTTTTTGTACCTAGAAAGCTTTGGCGAATCTATAAGCACACTTTATGATACAATTAACAATAAATAAATGTAGCTATTTTATAAGGCGGCAAATGCTTTTCTAAAGCTCCTTCTTTATTTAATTTTATTTTTCGACACGATATGTGATAACAACTTTAGTTAATAAATGTCGGCACTTTATGTCTGGGATAACTGACAACAACGGTTAACACCTTATACTTTGTCAAAGAACTTTTACACTTTACGTTTACACTCAGACACTTAAACCCTTTTACAAAAGCCTAAACAAAAAACCAAACTTTGCTTTCTGATTAAAACTAATAACCAAAACAGAATTACAAAACCTAAGAGTTCTATACCACTTTAATTTCCGACCACGAAAGCGTTACATTAAATGAAAAAGAACTAATTTACTGAAATGAATTATTTGTGAATATTAATTTCCGTCTCTACTATTATGAGAAAGGTTCTGAAATATTAATATTAATATTGATAGTTAATATTAATATTAATATTGATAGTTAATATCAATTATTTGTTAGTTAATTAATTGATTGAATTCTTTCGACTTGGTCAAAACAATTGGGGTATTTATAACAATTTTTATAAAAGATCAACATACATTTTGTTTAAATCAGAAATCCAGAATAATAATTTTAAAAATAAATAATGAAAAATGATATTTATTAATAAATAAAAATTCTAATATTAATAATAAAAAATAATTTTCTCTGAATTGTACATTTTTTTTTTGGAATAGAAACATTTACGAAACAATTTTATCTTTTTATTGTGCTATTTTTTAAAACAATATTAAAATAATAATTAATGCAACGTTGTATATAATGGTAGTAATTGATAGTAATATATTGATAGTAGCAGCAATTTAAACTAGAACATTTAAAAAAAATTATCATTATTAATTATTTTATAAATTTAATTATAAATATATTAATTAATAATTGATGATTAATAAAATATTATTAATATTATTTATTTAATTTTTTTTTAATGCTAAAGTGGGCTTTGTCATCTTAATTAAAATAAATAATTAAACATTTAAATACAAAAGATAGCATGACAAAGGCAAATTCTTTCTCACTTAACACCAAAAAATGAAATTCTGACACACATTTCGCAAGCATAATGGACACTCATTTTGTGCAACAGTCATTTGTATAATAGGCAGGCAGTTACACAGAGCCCGTTGCTTCTGAAACTTCACTAGAATATAGCTGTAGCCTCTCTAAGTCCAGATCATCAGCAAGATCAAAATTATCTCACACTTTTATAATCAAACTTTTGCAAGAACTTTCACCATAACATATGTTATGTTGATCATTTTTTTGTGATCTGCAACAGTGTCCACTATGCTCATTTCGCATTTATCAGAATGTATAGCATTCTGAATACAAGACTTTTTGTTTTTATCCTAATTGAATGTTCCCATTCAATAATTTCCTCAAATTTTTACAAAGAAAAGTTCTTGAGCATATTTAACAATTCCAGGTCCTCCTTTTTGAATTTTATGTAAAACTATGTATTATTACGTTACTTGAAATTAAACCTCATGTGAAATTTTTCACAGGTGTAGTAGATTGTTGAAATAAGTATCTATTTCAACAGGGTTGGTAAATTGACTGGTCCATTGCCATTAATAAATTACTAAACATGGCTGAATGTTACATCAATATGCCAACCCTGATTTCACACATTTCACGCATTAATATCAAAAATGAACCCACCACGTAATAGCAATATCAATGACAACAACAACAACAACAATCGTGATGGCGACGATAATAATCACTATGGCGACGATAATAAATTGCGATGGTGACGACAATAATAATGACAATAACAATAATAATAATAGAAATAGCAACAATAATAACGGCTATGATTATGGTGTGGTAGTGGTAATCGTAGCGGTAGTGGTGATGGTGGTCGTAATATAGATATTGATCTATATCCTATAGATATTTAATATTTGATAATAATAATAAAAAACAAAAAATATCTTGCTTAATTTATTAATCTTTTATTATACTATAATATAAATATATAAACGTGCTATTATTTAGTATCACTGTAAAAAATTTACTCTGTGATTTGACAGCTTTGAGTTAATCACCAGTTCATGTTCTGTTTGAATTTCTGAACAGAATTTGTAATTAACTTGAAAGTAATGTACAGTATTAAGACTAGACTAGAAATTTTTTTTATCTTACTACAAGCTGGTTTGCATGCTTTCTAAAAAATTAAATCAATGATTTAAAAAAAAGGATAATAGTAGTCACATAAATAATATAATAATAATAACTAACGTAACAATTCTTTCTAATCGTACACCACCAGATCTAAAAAAAGTAATTAATAATTAATAGTATAATTTGTTGTTACAGGAATATATAAACTAGAATTTTTGATGCTACCTATTTTCTTGATAAATAAAATATGGTCACATAACAATCCTTTCTGATTTCGTTTAGCCATTAGCCTTTGGAAAAAGAAATCATGTAAATACCTTTTAATTTAATTATTACATTCCTAAATATATATATATATAATATTAATTAAATAAATATTTAAAAAGGACATATTACCATATACTTGGGTTTTGTTGTGCGTGAAAATGAAATCTATGTGAATTTTCAATTCCAAAATTTTAATTATAAATTTCGATTTCACATACAAAAGGTTTTACAAACTCTTTTTTTTGTGAATCTCTTTAAAACTAATTAACAACACTAGATGAGATTTACAAGCTTGGAAAGCGAGTTTTATAAAAATATTTATACTTGATGAATGTTTTATCTAGTTGTATGGTGGACGGGTTTGATTATTTATTTGAAAATGCCATTTAAGTATTTAAAATTCAAAAAAAAAAAAACGCAATAGTTCTTTACCAATTACCATATATTTTGTATCTCGCTGAATACTTGATCGAATTGAGTGATCTTAGATTCAAAAGAAAGCCTGATTCTATTGCACGTCATATTCAAAACTTATTTATAGTTAATATACAGTGATGTTATTTAATATCGACCTTTTAAATCGCAATTCGTTGACGCATTTTAATAATATTATATTATTGTTATTAATCGTTATTATTTATGTAGAAATAAAATGTAAAAGAAAAGTTTTTAAACGTATAAATACTCATAACAATATAATTATTTACATTTATTTCTACTTATACTTGCAATTGGTGATATTTGTGATTAAAAATAAATATATATATATAAACTTCTTTTACTAAAAGTAAAAATTTCCACATAATTTAATTATGAAGTTACACAACATATCGTCAAGAAGCAGGAGGTCCATATAACTGGTTACAGCGTTGTTCAAAAGCAGTAATCATCATCTCGTTAACTTGGTCTGAAAAAATATTAGCAATTTGAAGGTGTAATGGTGAAGAGAATTCAAATTCAACTCGAAAATCTAGTATACAATGTGTTGTTTCCTCCTCTCCCACATTATCGTCATTATTGATATATGGAGTGAAATTCCAAATAGCTACTAAATGACGAAAAAGCACATCTGATGATGCAACCGCCTGGTCCAAAAACGAATTGTATTAATAATGACTATTATAATAATAATAAATTTGATGATTTTTATTTCCAATACTTTATATTTACCTGCACAAATCTTGGAGACTCACAAGTGACTTCAGAGACATAAATTTCCGAGAAGCCTTGAAAACCAACACCTAAAGCAGCGGTAATTATTGTTGTTTTATGATCAGCAGATTGTATGTTTAGTATTTCTGAACTGGTACAAAATGGAACAAAAAGAGAATATTCATCAATTTTCGAAACTACTTCATAAAGTTGATTTTGTGAATACCTTGAAATTTCAATATTGATATAATTAAAAATTGAAAAAAAATTTTTTAAAATAAAAAAGATTTTTTATTATTATTTATTATTCATTACCCAATTAATTTATGTCCTGTATAACACTTTCTAGATGATAATAAATCAGTCAAACCAAAAAAATTACGTCTATGATTCTTAATCCTTGAAAATGATAATTGTGGGTGTATTATTGGATATTTTGATGATGATTGATATTTTAATGAAGAAGGAGAATGCATTATTAGTGTTGATGATGATTTTGTTGTTGTTGATGATGATTTAAGTTTTGAAAAATGTAAAGTATTTGATAATAATCTATTAATAGTCATGATATTTTTCATCATTTTCTCTATTCTATAAACAGTAAATATCTATCTCACAAAGTAAATGAGCAGGAATAAGGAGAGTTAAACAGCAAGGAAAAAATAAACATTCTAAAGAAAAAAATATTGATTCTTTTTGTTGCACGATATATTTGCGAGCTTGACCCCCAGAAAATTTTTATATATGGAAATGATTGATTTTTAAATATATTAATATAGCAATAGTGAATTTCCGGATTGTTGTTATAATCATTCATTAGTGTAATAATCATCTCCATATATGGTTACTGAAAACTGTCCTACACATTGCAGCATTAAGATCATAATAAAAATAGATAAAATTTTTTTACTTGCATTATATAATATGACTATATTTGTCAAAACATCCATGTTTTAGCAGCTAATGATTTATTGAATA